CTTACCCAAACATGGATTAATAGGTTCTATACATGACTATGAGGACAAACATGAGTGAAACGGTCTCAATCCAAGGGAGGAACATCAAATGGACCAAATTTGGGAACCGGAAGAGGTAAGGAGTCCGAAATGTACCTCTGTGCCTCCACATTGTGGAAACTCACTTGTAGTGTATAATGAACTAGATGGACCCATACTTACCCAAACATGGATTAATAGGTTCTATACATGACTATGAGGAGAAACATGAGTGAAACGGTCTCAATCCAAGGGAGGAACATCAAATGGACCAAATTTGGGAACCGGTAAGGAGTCCGAAATGTACCTCTGTGCCTCCACATTGTGGAAACTCACTTGTAGTGTATAAGATGAACTAGATGGACCCATACTTACCCAAACATGGATTAATAGGTTCTATACATGACTATGAGGACAAACATGAGTGAAACGGTCTCAATCCAAGGGAGGAACATCAAATGGACCAAATTTGGGAACCGGAAGAGGTAAGGAGTCCGAAATGTAGTGCCTCCACATTGTGGAAACTCACTTGTAGTGTATAAGATGAACTAGATGGACCCATACTTACCCAAACATGGATTAATAGGTTCTACACATGACTATGAGGACAAACATGAGTGAAACGGTCTCAATCCAAGGGAGGAACATCAAATGGACCAAATTTGGGAACCGGAAGAGGTAAGGAGTCCGAAATGTACCTCTGTGCCTCCACATTGTGGAAACTCACTTGTAGTGTATAAGATGAACTAGATGGACCCATACTTACCCAAACATGGATTAATAGGTTCTATACATGACTATGAGGACAAACATGAGTGAAACGGTCTCAATCCAAGGGAGGAACATCAAATGGACCAAATTTGGGAACCGGAAGAGGTAAGGAGTCCGAAATGTACTCTGTGCCTCCACATTGTGGAAACTCACTTGTAGTGTATAAGATGAACTAGATGGACCCATACTTACCCAAACATGGATTAATAGGTTCTACACATGACTATGAGGACAAACATGAGTGAAACGGTCTCAATCCAAGGGAGGAACATCAAATGGACCAAATTTGGGAACCGGAAGAGGTAAGGAGTCCGAAATGTACCTCTGTGCCTCCACATTGTGGAACTCACTTGTAGTGTATAAGATGAACTAGATGGACCCATACTTACCCAAACATGGATTAATAGGTTCTACACATGACTATGAGGACAAACATGAGTGAAACGGTCTCAATCCAAGGGAGGAACATCAAATGGACCAAATTTGGGAACCGGAAGAGGTAAGGAGTCCGAAATGTACCTCTGTGCCTCCACATTGTGGAAACTCACTTGTAGTGTATAAGATGAACTAGATGGACCCATACTTACCCAAACATGGATTAATAGGTTCTACACATGACTATGAGGACAAACATGAGTGAAACGGTCTCAATCCAAGGGAGGAACATCAAATGGACCAAATTTGGGAACCGGAAGAGGTAAGGAGTCCGAAATGTACCTCTGTGCCTCCACATTGTGGAAACTCACTTGTAGTGTATAAGATGAACTAGATGGACCCATACTTACCCAAACATGGATTAATAGGTTCTACATGACTATGAGGACAAACATGAGTGAAACGGTCTCAATCCAAGGGAGGAACATCAAATGGACCAAATTTGGGAACCGGAAGAGGTAAGGAGTCCGAAATGTACCTCTGTGCCTCCACATTGTGGAAACTCACTTGTAGTGTATAAGATGAACTAGATGGACCCATACTTACCCAAACATGGATTAATAGGTTCTAACATGACTATGAGGACAAACATGAGTGAAACGGTCTCAATCCAAGGGAGGAACATCAAATGGACCAAATTTGGGAACCGGAAGAGGTAAGGAGTCCGAAATGTACCTCTGTGCTCCACATTGTGGAAACTCACTTGTAGTGTATAAGATGAACTAGATGGACCCATACTTACCCAAACATGGATTAATAGGTTCTATACATGACTATGAGGAAACATGAGTGAAACGGTCTCAATCCAAGGGAGGAACATCAAATGGACCAAATTTGGGAACCGGAAGAGGTAAGGAGTCCGAAATGTACCTCTGTGTCCTCATTGTGGAACTCACTTGTAGTGTATAAGATGAACTAGATGGACCCATACTTACCCAAACATGGATTAATAGGTTCTATACATGACTATGAGGACAAACATGAGTGAAACGGTCTCAATCCAAGGGAGGAACATCAAATGGACCAAATTTGGGAACCGGAAGAGGTAAGGAGTCCGAAATGTACCTCTGTGCCTCCACATTGTGGAAACTCACTTGTAGTGTATAAGATGAACTAGATGGACCCATACTTACCAAACATGGATTAATAGGTTCTACACATGACTATGAGGACAAACATGAGTGAAACGGTCTCAATCCAAGGGAGGAACATCAAATGGACCAAATTTGGGAACCGGAAGAGGTAAGGAGTCCGAAATGTACCTCTGTGCCTCCACATTGTGGAAACTCACTTGTAGTGTATAAGATGAACTAGATGGACCCATACTTACCCAAACATGGATTAATAGGTTCTAACATGACTATGAGGACAAACATGAGTGAAACGGTCTCAATCCAAGGGAGGAACATCAAATGGACCAAATTTGGGAACCGGAAGAGGTAAGGAGTCCGAAATGTACTCTGTGCCTCCACATTGTGGAAACTCACTTGTAGTGTATAAGATGAACTAGATGGACCCATACTTACCCAAACATGGACTATGAGGACAAACATGAGTGAAACGGTCTCAATCCAAGGGAGGAACATCAAATGGACCAAATTTGGGAACCGGAAGAGGTAAGGAGTCCGAAATGTACCTCTGTGCCTCCACATTGTGGAAACTCACTTGTAGTGTATAAGATGAACTAGATGGACCCATACTTACCCAAACATGGATTAATAGGTTCTAACATGACTATGAGGACAAACATGAGTGAAACGGTCTCAATCCAAGGGAGGAACATCAAATGGACCAAATTTGGGAACCGGAAGAGGTAAGGAGTCCGAAATGTACCTCTGTGCCTCCACATTGTGGAAACTCACTTGTAGTGTATAAGATGAACTAGATGGACCCATACTTACCCAAACATGGATTAATAGGTTCTACACATGACTATGAGGACAAACATGAGTGAAACGGTCTCAATCCAAGGGAGGAACATCAAATGGACCAAATTTGGGAACCGGAAGAGGTAAGGAGTCCGAAATGTATCTGTGCCTCCACATTGTGGAAACTCACTTGTAGTGTATAAGATGAACTAGATGGACCCATACTTACCCAAACATGGATTAATAGGTTCTAACATGACTATGAGGACAAACATGAGTGAAACGGTCTCAATCCAAGGGAGGAACATCAAATGGACCAAATTTGGGAACCGGAAGAGGTAAGGAGTCCGAAATGTACCTCTGTGCCTCCACATTGTGGAACTCACTTGTAGTGTATAAGATGAACTAGATGGACCCATACTTACCAAACATGGATTAATAGGTTCTCACATGACTATGAGGACAAACATGAGTGAAACGGTCTCAATCCAAGGGAGGAACATCAAATGGACCAAATTTGGGAACCGGAAGAGGTAAGGAGTCCGAAATGTACCTCTTGCCTCCACATTGTGGAAACTCACTTGTAGTGTATAAGATGAACTAGATGGACCCATACTTACCCAAACATGGATTAATAGGTTCTACACATGACTATGAGGACAAACATGAGTGAAACGGTCTCAATCCAAGGGAGGAACATCAAATGGACCAAATGATGATAGGATTTTGTGGATGTGATATGATATGAGGTGGAATGCAAACAGGGGTGAATAAAGATGAAATGGTGTGCAATCACAATCAATCAATTCCTCTTAACCATCATAGTCAATGTAGTATAAGAGGTTATCAATCCAAAATGGGAAAACTTGTCACTCTATGAGAATATGAAACCCAAGAAAGTCAAGCAAGCAGTAATAGATTTGAGGTAACACTAACAACCTAAATGAAGCAGAAATGAAATGCAGAAAGTAAATAAAGCAGTAGAGCAACAGCTCGACCAAGGACTCGAGTCGAGTTGGAACAGAGTACCGAGCTCGATCGAGTTTAGGGTCGAGTTGAAGTAAAAAGCAATAAAGGCAGCGACTTTAACAAGCTAGAACGAACAATTAGGGTCTAAGACAGGGTTTAACAATCAGAGGAAGGCTATACTTAATCGATCTTGCTCTCAAACACTTGTATCAAGGTATCTCTTGATATTGAGCTTCTCAATGCCTAGCTAACCCTTTCCCAAGGTGAAAGCTATCAACCAAGACTTGATCTCAGAAACAGGGGGTTAGCCAGTGAGAATCAAGCCTTGGAGGCCATAGGATCATTGCTCAAACTAATCCATCCAACCCCTTAGACCTCTATTTCTAGAGCAAGAGATATTGGAGCTCTTAGTGGACCTTTTCCAACGATTTCCATCACTTCCATGTGGAGAATCGCCTATGGACATACAAGCCAGGGATAGTGGTCATGTAGCCTTAAGGTTTGTCCAAAAGAGAGAGATTTCTAGATTAAGAACATAAGCAAGAAGGATTAAGCATAAAATCCTCTAATCTATCCCATCTTTGACCCTAAGGGAACTACTCACTACACATGAATGTAAACACAAGCAAATGCAATAAAAGAGACATCATAAGAAAGAGGAGATGAAATTAAACAACTTTTATTGAAATAAGCAAGTGCAAATACAAAAGAGATTATCCAGGATCTAGATTCAAGAAGCAAGAGCTTCAAGAACACAAAGATGGGATTAGAGCTCTCAAAAGTAAAAGACAATAAATTAAAAGAAACTAAAACAAAAAGTAATCTAAAGCTTGGTGGTTTTTTCGTGGCTTTTAGCCTTTAAATACAAGAGGATTTAGGTTTAGGGTCAAAGGAAAGTCAAGGGGGAAGCAACATTTTTCGGGTTTGACTGTTGACTTCTCAGCTCGATCGAGTTGAAGCTTGGCCGGTCGAGTTGAGGAACTCGACCGGTTGGTCGAGTAGATGGTCGAGCTGGTCTTCAAGATGGCTTCCTCCTTCTTCCTTTGCGTATCCAGTTGAGCTGCGTCCATGTGCCAAGTCCTCCATGCTCCTCATGTCCCATATGCTCCAGAATGCTCCAAAAGACCTATTTCAAAGGACCAAACATGCATATGTATGCAAATGCAACCTAAAACTACTATGAATGCATAAGAAGAGAAAAGGAACAAGATATGATGCTAATGGATGCTAAAACTATGCAAAAGATGCATAAAAGATGTACTAAAACTATGCATAAATGCAAGTACATCACCAACTCGACACTCAGCTCGATCGAGTCAAAAAACTCGAGTGACAAACTCGATCGAGTTGGGTGAAAACAGAGTATAACCAAACCTAATTCAAGATTAAGAGCTGGAAAAGATGCTAATCAATCAAATTGAACCAAGAACAACTAGTAAATGGAACAATGAGCAATATAGAGAAGTACTAAGCATCTTAACCAAAACCAAACTCAAATTCAATCAAGCACATGCAACAAGTTTAAAGGCAAAACAGAGGTGAGGTGAAACAAACTAACAAGATTATACAAGAGGCGAAATATGAGGGCAATTACTCAAGAACAAGTCCACAAGGGACACATGCAATCAAAAATCAAAGGGGAAACAAGCAATAGTTGAAATCGAGATGGATGAATGAAGGGTTTTAGGGTTCATACCTTGTTGAATGAGGAATTGAAGAGCAGTAAACAAACTAAAAAACAATTGAAGAACAAGGAGAAATCGCAAAAATTTAAGAGAGAAAGAGGAAATCGATTTTTGTTGTGGTGAAGAGAGAGAGAGATGAGTTTCAGAAATTTTAAGATGTGGGAGAGAGTGGATTCGATCGAGTTATGGGGAAGAGGGGTGTTTGAGATGTGTGGTTGAGATTAAAAGATGAAATAAAGAGGGAACAAGAAGCTAGGGTTTTTCTGATCAAATTAGGGTAGTGGGGGACCAAAATCAGCTTGTGGGACCCACTCCCTTGACCAAGAAAACGGTTAGAATTTGAAATTCAAAAACTTACCTCGGTCGAGTTGTGGAACTCGATCGAGTTGCCCTGGTTTCTAGCTCGATCGAGCTGTCGGTCGAGCTGGCTTCTTGTCACCTAAACTTAACTTATTCAAGGTTAAAACACAAAATAGATAGAAATTGCATAAATAGAATATGTACAAGGATAAACATGGGACTTCCTCCCAAGTGAGCTTGTTTAAGGTCCCATAGCTTGACCTTTACCTTCTTAGGCATTGGTTGAGCTAGTCCCACCATCAAGGGTGATAGTGAGGACTTGAGACAGAAGCTCCTTTAGCTTGGTTGGGTCCCTGGACTGTTCTGAAGTCACCAAGGCCTTGGCTCTAGAGAATGGCCTTGATCTCCCCTTGTACCTTATCTTGTACTCAATCTTCCCATTTTCAAACTTGGTGGGGAACAAAGTCATTGTGAGCTGAGATGGCTTGATGAAGGGGCCTGAGCTGGTGGATCCTTTCTTTTATCCCTGGTCTTGCCTTAGAGGCTGCATCCTCCCCTTCTTTTAGAGCCCTTCCTAGTGGCTCATCAAACAAAGCTTGAAGGCTCTCTTCATCAAGCACACAAGGGGCTTGAACAAGTCGATCAGCTCGTGGTCTATCAGAACGTGGTTTCTCAACTCTAGCCCTCTCAAGACGTGGCTTCTCAATCCTTGGTCCTCTCTCAACCTTATCCTTCCCAACTCTTGGTTCCTTGTCAACCCTTTCCTTCACAACCTTTGTAGCTCCATGACTCTTAGAACTGAGAGTGGTACTGTCAATTGTGGCACAAAAGTCTGAACCTCTAGGCTGCAAGCGATATGACACCAAACTATTCACCTTGTGAAGGATCACTTCTTGCTTGTGAAAGTCTATTGAAGCGCCAACTGTACTAAGGAAAGGGTTCCCAATAACAGAGGTAAATCCTTCTCTTCTTCCATTTCCATCACAGTGAGATCAGTTTGGATGATGCATTCTCCAATTTTCAAGTGATAGTTCTTGAACACTCCAAGAGGAGACTTAGAAGTTGCATCTCCAAACATGATTGAAGTAGTAGGGCGCTGCAAGGCTCCAGCAATGCCTAGCTTCTCTGCCATGGAGAGAGAGATCAGATTGATGCTTGCTCCAGAATCCACTAAGGCATTGTCAATCTCAAGATGCCCAAGTGTGCAAGGGAGAGTGAATTTCCCTTGATCCTTGACCTTTGGTAGGAAGGTGGGTGAAGTAAGCAGGTTGAACTGATGAGTAGACTCTTGTAGGACCTCTGAAACTTTATCACTGTTGGCTAGAACATCCTTGACCATTTGCATTTGATCAAATGCCTCACTCATGCTATCCATAGGAGGCAACTCAATTCCAATCCCACTGAGATCTCTTCTGAACTTGTGAATCACTTCCTTGTGACCTTGACTAAGTAGGCGAGACGAGGAAGCGGCAACCGGTTGGTAAGGATCAAGCAAAACAGGTTTTGGACAGAAGAGGTCGGACTCGATCGAGCTAGAGTTGGACTCGATCGAGCTGCCGATCGAGCTTGTTGTGCGAGCTCAACTGGTGAAGTGTGAATGGCCACAGTAGGTGCATGCACTTCTGGTTGATCAATCTGGACTCCAGGAGCCTCAGCAGCAACAATCTCTTCATCATTCAGCAGTAAACAAAAATCTTCAATGACCCTTTCTTGATCCTCTTCTTCAACAAGTCCTTCTTGAGTGAAGATGACCTTGCACTGTTCCTTGGGGTTCTGAATAGCTTTACCAGGTAGTTGTCCTTGCTTTGTAGCAGCAGCAACAGAAGAAGCATGATTCTCCAGAGAGTAAACCCTTGTGTTGAGGTTCTCGATCTTAGAGTTTATTTCAGCTAGCTTCTTGCTTGTGTCCACTACCCCATCAGCTTGCCCTTGAAGTAGTTGCTTTAGCATTGCCTTGAGCTCATTCTCTTGCGAAGGTGCAGGCTGGGGTGGTTGGTGGGGGAAGCCTGGTGGGATATTCATTTGTTGTCCAGGGAAAGTGCCTTGTGGTCCTTGGTAATTGTTCTTTTGACCATACCCATGTTGTGGCACCTGACTCGATCGAGCTGCTTGTTGTTGAGGATATACTTGGTCCTGAGGGTTAGCAACATCAGTGTTGCGGTATGACATGGCAGGGTTGGACTTGTAATTATAGTATCCTTTGTTGTAACCTCCTTGCCCATTGCTCATGTAGCACACCTCAGCAAATTGTGTATCCTCCCCTTCTTGGACTGGTTCCATCTCCTCAGCAGACACAAAGTTGACTTTCTTCATTGTGGACTGAGCTAGGATCAGCTTATCCAACTTCTCATTCAATGCCTTAACATCTTTTCTCAACTTTTCGTCTGACTCGATCGAGTGGTGGGTCGAGCTCCGGTTGGTGCGATCATACTCTTCTCCATAGCTTCCATTTGAGTTAGCTATGTTCTCCACAAGTTGCCAGCCATCATCTACATCCTGGTTGAGGAAGTTCCCATTGCTAGCTGTGTCTAGCATCTCCCTATACCTAGGCAAGCATCCTCTATAAAGAGTGGAGAGTAGTGATTCATTGTTGAATCCATGGTGTGGGCACTGACTTGTGTAGCCTTTGAACCTCTCCCAAGCCTCTGCGAATGTCTCATTGTTTCGCTGGATGAAGCTGGATATCTCTCCTCTAAGCTTGGCTGTGCGACCGGTGGAGAAAAACTTAGCAAGAAAGGCCTTCTTGCATTCATCCCAAGTGGTGATTGTGCCATGGGGCAAGCTCTTCTCCCATTGGTGAGCTTTGTCAGCTAGAGACATAGGAAAGAGTCTCAGCTTGATGGCATCTTCAGAGACACCATTGATCTTTGTCAAATCACAAAGCCTATCAAACTCATCAAGGTGGTCAATGGGGTCTTCACTTGGCAATCCATGGAACATCTTGTTCTGGAACAAGGTTGATCATTCCCAGCTTGATCTCAAAGTTGTGGTTCTGCACTGGTGGTGGAACAATCCCTTGTCTCTGTTGGTGGCGGTTTGGAGCATCTCCTTGACCAATCGGTCGAGTTTGCCTAGCTCGACCGAGTCCATGGGTTTCCATTCCCCTCTGGTACATCCATTGTATCAGCAACAAGCACTCAGGTTCCTCTTGTACCCTCTGTGACCTCTGAAGTTGTAGTCTAGCTCGACCAAGTCCTCAGTAGACCGACTCGATCGAGTTCGCATACACCTGCAAAAAGAGACAAAAACCCAGCAGTACAATAGAACAGGGGTGGTATAGCTTGATCGTCCAAGTGTGTTTGAAACTCAAATGCAACAAAAATATTCCCAAATCGGCAACGGCGCCAAATTGATGATAGGATTTGTGTGTGGATGTGATATGATAATGAGGTGGAATGCAAACAGTGGTAATGATGAGGTGGTATGATGCAAACACAATCAATCAATTCCCTTTAACCATGATAGTTTGATGTATAAAGGGTTATCAATCCAAAATGGGAAACTTGTCACTCTATGAGAATATGAAACACAAGAAAGTCAAGCAAGCAGTAATAGATTTGAAGTAACACTAACAACCTAAATGAAACAGAAATGCAATGCAAAAGTAAAGAAAGCAGTAGAGCAACAGCTCGACCAAGGACTCGAGTCGAGTGGAACAGAGTACCAGCTCGATCGAGTTTAGGGTCGAGTTGAGAAAAAGCAATAAAGGCACGACTTTAACAAGCTAATGCGAGAATTAGGGTTCAAGACAGGGTTTTGCAATCAAGGAATCTACACTTAATCGATCTGCTCTTAAAACTCCTTGTATCAAGGCTTCTCTTGATATTGGGCTTCTCAATGCCTAACCAACCCTTTCCCAAGGTGAGGCTATCAACCAAGGAATGATCTCAGAAACAGGGGGTTAGCCAGTGAGAATCAAACCTTGGAGGCCATAGGATCATTGCCCAAACTAATCCATCCAACCCCTTAGACCTCTATTTCTAGAGCAAGAGATATTGGAGCTCTTAGTGGATTTTCCAGCGATTTCCATCACTTCCATGTGGAGAATCGCCTAAGGACATACAAGCCAGGGGTAGTGGTCATGTAGCCTTAAGATTTCCAAAAGAGAGAGAATCTAGATTAAGACCATAAGCAAGAAGGATTAAGCATATGAAACCTCTAATCTATCCCATCTCAAACCCTAATGGGTAACTACTCACTACACATGAATGTAAACACAAGCAAATGCAATAAAAGAGACATCATAAGAAAGAGGAGATGAAATTAAACAACTTTTATTGAAATAAGCAAGTGCAAATACAAAAGAGATTATCCAGGATCTAGGATTCAAGAAGCAAGAGCTTCAAGAACACAAAGATGGGATTAGAGCTCTAAAAGTAAAAGACAATAAATTAAAAGAACTAAAACAAAAAGTAATCTAAAGCTTGGTGGTTTTTTCGTGGCTTAGAGCCTTAAATACAAGAGGATTAGGTTTAGGGTCAAAGGAAAGTCAAGGGGGAAGCAACATTTTTCGGGTTTGACTTTGACTTCTCAGCTCGATCGAGTTGAAGTTGAGTAGATGGTCGAGCTGGTCTTCAAGATGGCTTCTCCCTTCTTCCTTTGCGTATCCAGTTGAGCTGCTTCCATGTGCCAAGTCCCTCCATGCTCCTCACGTCTCCATATGCTCCAGAATGCTCCAAAAGACCTATTTCAAAGGACCAAACATGCATATGTATGCAAATGCAACCTAAAACTAACATGAATGCATAAGAAGAGAAAAGGAACAAGATATGATGCAAATGAAAGCTAAAACTATGCAAAAGATGCATAAAAGATGTACTAAAACTATGTAAAATGCAAGTACATCACCAAATTTGGGAACTGTAAGACGTAAGGAGTCCAAAATGTATCTTTGTGCCTCCATATTATGGAACATACTTGTAGTGTATATAATGAACTAGACGGACCCATAGTTACCCAAACATGGATTAATAGGTTCTATACATGACTATGACGGGAAACATGAATGAAAAGGTCTCAATCCAAGGGAGGAACATCAAATGGACCAAACATGGGAATCAGAAGAGGTAAGGAGTCCGAAATGTAGATCTGAGCCTCCACATTGTGGGAACTTACTTGTAGTGTATATGATGAACTAGACAGACTCATACTTACCCAAACATGCATTAATAGGTTCTATACATGACTTTGAGGGGAAACATGAATTAAACGGTCTCAATCAAAGGAAGTAACATCAAATGGACCCAATTTGGGAACCGGAATAGATAAGGAGTCCGAAATGTAGCTCTGTGCCTCCACATTGTGGGAACTTACTTGTAGTGTATATGATGAACTAGACAGACCCATACTTACCCAAACATGGATTAATAGGTTCTATACATGACTATGAGGAGAAACAATGAGTGAAACGGTCTCAATCCAAGGGAGGAACATCAAATGGACCAAATTTGGGAACCGGAAGAGGTAAGGAGTCTGAAATGTACCTATGTGCCTCCACATTATGGGAACATACTTGTAGTGTATATGATGAACTAGACACACCCATACTTACCCAAACATGGATTAATAGGTTTTATACATGACTATGAGGGGAACCATGAATGAAAAGGTTTCAATCCAAGGAAGGAACATCAAATGGACCAAATTTGGGAACCGAAGAGGTAAGGAGTCCGAAATGTATCTTGTGCCTCCACATTGTGGGAACTTACTTGTAGTGTATATGATGAACTAGACGGACCCATACTTACCCAAACATGGATTAATAGGTTCTATACATGACTATGAGGAGAAACATGACTGAAACGGTCTCAATCCAAGGGAGGAACATCAAATGGACCAAATTTGGGAACCGGAAGAGGTAAGGAGTCCGAAATGTATCTGTGCCTCCACATTATGGGAACATACTTGTAGTGTATATGATGAACTAGACGGACCCATACTTACCCAAACATGGATTAATAGGTTTATACATGACTATGAGGAGAAACATGAATGAAAAGGTCTCAATCCAAGGAGGAACATCAAATGGACCAAATTTGGGAACCGGAAGAGGTAAGGAGTCTGAAATGTATCTTGTGCCTCCACATTGTGGGAACTTACTTGTAGTGTATATGATGAACTAGACGGACCCATACTTACCCAAACATGGATTAATAGGTTCTATACATGACTATGAGGAGAAACTGACTGAAACGGTCTCAATCCAAGGGAGGAACATCAAATGGACCAAATTTGGGAACCGGAAGAGGTAAGGAGTCCGAAATGTAGCTCTGTGCCTCCACATTGTGGGAACATACTTGTAGTGTATATGATGAACTAGACGGACCCATACTTACCCAAACATGGATTAATAGGTTCTATACATGACTATGAGGAGAAACATGAATGAAACGGTCTCAATCCAAGGGAGGAACATCAAATGGACCAAATTTGGGAACCGGAAGAGGTAAGGAGTCCGAAATGTACCTTGTGCCTCCACATTGTGGGAACTACTTGTAGTGTATATGATGAACTAGACACCCCATACTTACCCAAACATGGATTAATAGGTTCTATACATGACTATGAGGGAAACATGAATGAAAAGGTCTCAATCCAAGGAGGAACATCAAATGGACCAAATTTGGGAACCGGAAGAGGTAAGGAGTCCGAAATGTATCTCTGTGCCTCCACATTGTGGGAACTTACTTGTAGTGTATATGATGAACTAGACGGACCCATACTTACCCAAACATGGATTAATAGGTTCTATACATGACTATGAGGAGAAACATGACTGAAACGGTCTCAATCCAAGGGAGGAACATCAAATGGACCAAATTTGGGAACCGGAAGAGGTAAGGAGTCCGAAATGTATCTGTGCCTCCACATTGTGGGAACATACTTGTAGTGTATATGATGAACTAGACGGACCCATACTTACCCAAACATGGATTAATAGGTTCTATACATGACTATGAGGAGAAACATGAATGAAACGGTCTCAATCCAAGGGAGGAACATCAAATGGACCAAATTTGGGAACCGGAAGAGGTAAGGAGTCCGAAATGTAGCTTTGTGCCTCCACATTGTGGAACTTACTTGTAGTGTATATGATGAACTAGACAGACCCATACTTACCCAAACATGGATTAATAGGTTTATACATGACTATGAGGAGAATGTCTCAATCCAAAAGAGGAACATCAAATGGACCAAATTTGGGAACCGGAAGAGGTAAGGAGTCCGAAATGTATCTTGTGCCTCCACATTGTGGGAACTTACTTGTAGTGTATATGATGAACTAGACGGACCCATACTTACCCAAACATGGATTAATAGGTTCTATACATGACTATGAGGAAACATGATGAAACGGTCTCAATCCAAGGGAGGAACATCAAATGGACCAAATTTGGGAACCGGAAGAGGTAAGGAGTCCGAAATGTATCTCTGTGCCTCCACATTATGGGAACATACTTGTAGTGTATATGATGAACTAGACAGACCCATACTTACCCAAACATGGATTAATAGGTTCTATACATGACTATGAGGAGAAACCGGACTGAAACGGTCTCAATCCAAGGAAGGAACATCAAATGGACCAAATTTGGGAACCGGAAAGAGGTAAGAGTCCGAAATGTAGCTATGTGCCTCCACATTGTGGAACTTACTTGTAGTGTATATGATGAACTAGACGACCCATACTTACCAAACATGGATTAATAGGTTCTATACATGACTATGAGGAGAAACATGAATGAAACGGTCTCAATCCAAGGGAGGAACATCAAATGGACCAAATTTGGGAACCGGAAGAGGTAAGGAGTCCGAAATGTACTATGTGCCTCCACATTGTGGGAACATACTTGTAGTGTATATGATGAACTAGACGGACCCATAGTTACCCAAACATGGATTAATAGGTTCTATACATGACTATGAGGAGAAACATGAGTGAAACGGTCTCAATCTAAGGGAGGAAAATCAAATGGACCAAATTTGGGAACCGGAAGAGGTAAGGAGTCCGAAATGTACCTCTGTGCCTCCACATTATGGGAACATACTTGTAGTGTATATGATGAACTAGACACACCCATGTGATACCCCATATCAAGACCTAAAACATCCCAAAGGCCGGGATGGGAAGATCAGCACGCTGGGATTGGAAGATAAAGACGTGGGATCTAATACAGAGATTAGAACGAAGACTTGGATCAAGATATGATCAAAAACAAACGAGCAGAAGTGAAGATACAACAAGATTGTCCAGGTGGGACGATCATTGTACGAACATGGGAAGAGTCCACAGGAACACGAAATATCAAAGTTCTCCAAATCAAGAAGAGAAGAGTTTGGACGACATAAGAAACCATTCTAAGAAGTTTGGTCGACGCAGAATGCAAATCGGACGAGCAGATTGAGAGATGGGACGAACGCCCAAGATCTATCCCGCCGCCAGATCTTTCGAGGTTCGTGTGGGTACTCTTCCGAGGCAAGGGAAGCTCTGCCGCAGAACCGAGGGTATGAGGCATAGTGGTGCGTAAAGGCCCATATGCTAAGTACTGAGAACATGTGGCGTGTCTAACCACATGTTGTTTAGGAAGGTGTAGTCAAGCGCATTCTCGCACGTCAGAGCCCAACCGGATTGGCAGCGTGGAGGCTGTGCATGAAGGGAGGAAGACTCGGAGGATAACCTGGTCAGCTGCCTTGGCCGAGTATGGTACCATATGACGATATGGGATCCAACCAGACATTGGCATGGTGCGCCAGTAAGGCCAATAGATGGGAGGATGAACCGGGTACCGCGATGGACTGTAGTGCCCGGGTGAAGGCGTTCATCTAGTTTCTGTGTGATTCCGGATGAGCGTGAACCTTCACAGGCGTGGGCTGAGAATGTGGCTTATGCACCTAGAGGCCTCACTGCATGTAGAAGTCAAGTATTCCGCTACTTGATTAGGGTTGCTTTGCATATAGATTGATTGTGTGCATTGCTTGATTGATTGATTGCTTGTTTGAGTGTTGTTATAGTCTTGGATTGATCGTACCTGTTCTTGTTTGATTGGGGTACGGTTAGTCTTAAGGCTATAGCAGCAATATTGCATAATTGCTTTGTGTTGCAGGTGGCGGATGAGATCCCGCCTTTTTCTTTTGGGGTTTGGGTTTGGGGAATAACCTTTGTATAGAGGGTCCTGAACTCACTGAGTAACATTAGGTTACTCATGATGATTATTTGTCTTACAGGTAACCCTTAGTTGAAGCCCGTGAACGGGAGGCAGAACAGCTGAAGACCGGAGTAGATTGGCTTGGCTTTTGTAAAACTCGATTTCAGGTTATTATATGCAATAGCTATGCTTTGGGCATTAGGCCTTGCCGGCAAAATAGTATAAAGTTTTGTAAGAACTTGTTTTGACAAGGTTATTATATAAAGTTATCTTTTTACAAATCTGGCCTCTCGAATGATATTAGCTCTTGTCCGGAGCTAACACAACTCAAGACCGGAGGAGCAGGTTGCAAAGCCTTAACCGATGGTCGAGAGGGTCGTATTCATCGGATTAGCTGACTTGGGCTCTGATTTGTTCTTAGACCCAAGACGGCCTATCTTATGAACCTCGACACTTGTGGCATCTGCGGTTTAGTCTATTCATAGACCGAACTGGGGGTGTTACAAATGGTGGTATCAGAGCATGGTTCATGGTCATGCTCACGGGACAAGCCGTTTTATCGAGTCAAAATGTGTCGCAAAAGCCAAATTAGGAATCCGGTTTGTTCTGCCTATTAGGATTAGTAAGTTAGGACTTACCCATTACCTGGTGCAGATGTTAAACCACAGAGGAGGTCATGAGAGGTTGAGGGATTTATCATTGGGTCAGGGTCAGAGTGCGCCAGAGGATATGAATAGAAGAGAGCCATCAGATGTGGCTATGCACGGCAATGAAGAAGAAGATCAGAACGAGGAGATGATGCATACAAACATGCTTAAGACATATGGTCAAGCTGAGAATCTGGACTACGAATATCCAGAGAGGAGGGACTACTCTATGTCACCTTACTCATCCTCCATTCACTCTCAAGGGACGAGGTCTCATCATCCACTAGACCCGCATAGGAATGTTCGGGTTGAGCATTCCGGATCTGCGAATCCACAAGCACAGCAAGGTGCCAGGCCACCATCGGAATCATCGGAACCAGAAGATCAACAACGGGCCGGTACAACTTTATCCATGGTGTATGATCTTTTATCCCAAGTGTTGCACCAGGCCATACTAGGCACAAGCAACGGAGTAGCTCTACCACCAGACTTTCTCAAGATAGCAACAATCATGAAGACCTTAAGAACCTATCTATTCAATGGAGAGCCGGACTACTACTAGGCGGATGCATGGCTACAATGTGTGGAGAATAACTTTTCAGCAACCAGATGTACAGACGACTTTAAAAGGGACGTCGGAGTCTATCACCTAGAGAAGGAGGCGTTAAAAACGTGATCTGTCTAAAATGCGATAAATGCAATTTAATGAAATAACCACGATTTCAGTTGTTAATTGAATATACTGGAGATATATAGAAAAAAAAAATTACTTCTATTAAAACTGTATAATAACAAAACACTAATTTCAACATCATAAAACATATTAACTCATATGTTTCTAGTTTCAATAACAACTAGGGTTTGACCCGTGCCCTGCACGGGTGATAGTTTCTGAATTTGTATTTTTATTAAAAATGTTTATTTAAATATTTCGACATTTTATGCGAGAGATTTTTAACATTTGTTATTCGTTTATAGTATGAAAATTAGGCATTTTAATCCATTTAAAAAAAAAAAATTAAAGCATTGATCGTAACCACAGATTAAATATGATAGATTTAACCGAGATACATAAAACTCAAATAACTATAATATAATAAGATAGTTTAAAGAAAAAAATTGAAAATAAAACATTATTCTTTAGAAAAATTATACATCATGTATTTCATAAGATAAAAAGTTTTAGCTGTGTGGACACGGATTAGAACTAATTTTTTTTTTTTTCAAAACTAAAACATGCTTTATTATAATTTCAAAACAATCCAACCAATCAGAAAATAATATGCAGAATCCAAATTGTCAAAACAGCAAAAATATAATTAATTTTGTATAGAAAGTTGAAACAGATAGAGTAATATTCAAAAGTTTAATCAAAATAAAATATTTATAAAAAGAACTTTTTTATTCGATTTAATTATAGATTTTAATTAAAAAACCATATTAAATGAAAAAAAAAATACATTTGGATACCTACTAAATGAGGTTATATACGAAACAATTTATATTATTTTGTTTTTAAAAATTCAAATCATAACATGTACAGAAAAAGTTTTAGATTTTTTTGATAGATTTTTTATATTGTGATTCAAATTATTTTATTAAATAAATTTAAACAAAGATGATAGAAGATGTATACTGATTTTAAAAGAAATTATTATGATGGAATTAAATTGAATCTCATATCTTCCTTATTTACTAATTTTCGTAGTTGCCAATTAAGGAAAGAGAATGATAAATTTAATTTCATTATTTGGTTGTAAGCATAATATGCAATGATATATATTAATTTGTCTAGTAAAGTTGTCTTAATTAGAAATTGCTCTAAGAGTGAACCTAGTGATGACACCTAAGCAATGACATTCTTGTTAATAACACATTAGACAAAGTTATTTAGTTAGTGTTTTCTCTTTTAATATATTAGGGATGATTTAAATAAAAGCATAAGATCAGTTAGATATGTATATATATTTTTTAAACATGTCAAAAATCAACGACTTTGATGAAAAATAAAATCATAAATAAAGAAAAAATATAGCATTATTTAAGCAAGTTTTGGTCGGAAATAAAACAAAGAATGTATTATTTCTCACTGATAATTTGTTGCCTTCTTCATCACTCTCATCACACTATTGTTTACTGTAACCTCAATTGAAGACCGAATCCATTGTTCATGACACAAAGACTTTAATCATTTTCGTTTATGTTGGAACTTTTTCTGGTAAGCAAAAACGATTCCTAAGAGTTAGGAAACTACACCAACTACCAACCAGCTCTGGTTCCATCCTACTCCTAAGTCTTATTCCGGTAAGTTCCTTTAAGAGAAGTTTATAATTACCTGTCGGAAGTCTAAAATTTGAATTTTGCATATAGATCTTCTCAAAAATTGAAGAAAGAATTTTTTTTGGAAGTCGAATTTGCATTTACGCTTCCATTTCACAGAATTTGGAGAATTCTTCTAAAACCCATAGGAAATCATCTACTCGATCTTGAATTTTGGTAGTTTAAAGAGAAGAAGAAGAATCGTAGAAGATAAATGTCTGCAAACGGAATGTAGGGGTGGCTATTATAATGACGTTACTATAAGTCCATTGGTTATGTCCTTTTGTGATTGAGTATCTTAGGTTCCAATCTTAAATCTGCGGAGTAGGTAGTTTTTTTCAAAAATTGTATTTTTAAACTAGGGGGTGATCCGCGCTATGCGTGGTTGTGTTAGTTTTATTGTTTTTCCGCAAATTTAATATTGTTTCAAAGATATTATACACATATTACTTAAATATAATTAGAGTTAGGCCAATGTTTTGTACCATCTTGTTCCATCTCGTCCCATTTCGTTCATTTTCATCTTGTACGTTCTTTCCCATCCCGTTTGTCATGCATGTCATGTCCCGTTCAGTCATATCCTATTCCATTATGATTTTTTCCATTTTGTTTATTATTGTCTCGTTCCCTAAATATAATTAGGGTAGACATAATTCTATCTCATTCCGTTCCTTTTCATATTGTCATGTTCTTTCTCATCCCGTTTGTTCTGTCCGCCCCATCCAGTCCCATCATATCTTATTATGTTCATTTCCATTTTATCTTATCTCTGTCTCATCTCTAAATATAATTAGGGGTAGGCAAAATTCCCGTCCCGTCCCTTCCCATCCCATTATGTCCTTTTTCATCTCGTCCCGTCCAATCCCGTCATATTCTATTTCTTTTCATTTTGTCCCGTCCAACATTTCTGTCTTGTCCCCTCTCATTATATTTTTATTCGTTTTTCCGTTCCACCCCTAAATATAATTAAAGGTAGGCGAAATTTCGGTCTTGTCCTATTCTGTTCTTTCCTTTAGATCTCATCTCGTCACTTAATATCATAAGAAGTACAAAATTCCCCACTCTTCCGATTCCATTTTTTTTCGTCTCGTCATATTTAATCTTGTTTCTTTTCATCCAAAAATACTATAGAAAAAACAGTGTTCTTTGTATAATAAAATTTTATTTTTATTATTATTATTATTATTATTATTATTAAATAATAGTTTTATGATTTATACATAATATTTTTTTTTTTTTAAAAAATTACTTTTCAAATTCTTGCATAAACTATTGTATTATTTAATGATTTAATGAATGATCATAAAGAATTAAAATATAAGAAGAGAAAATATAATAAATTAAAAATAATAAATACAATGCTGACATAGCCAATTGGTGAATTTAGAAGCACCTATTTTGGGTGAGGTGGCAACACCAGAATAGAATCATATCAACTTTATATATATAGATATAGATGGGTTTCAAAACTTTTTTTTTGCTTTCAGCCAAAAAAAATCATGTTGAGTGAGTTATAAAATAAAAAGGGTAAAGTTGAAGTACTACTTTTAGGTGTAACTGGTGACCAAGGAATGAGGGGGAATAAGACAATTCCACTTCATTCCTTAAAAATTACACTATTTATAAAGAATGTGTATTCCATATTATTCCTTGCCATTCCATATTAATTAGGGAATTATAGTGTTAAAATATTCCTTATAAAATATGAGGAGGAATGAGTTCCATATATTTTATTCCTCTTCATTCCATTCCTTCTCATTCATTTTGTTCATTTACAGGTAGCCTTAGAATCTAAACGTAGTAGATAATTAACATAGTATAATTTAAATGTAGTAGATAATAGTTTTTTTTTTTTTTCTAAACTAACTAAAAGATTCGGAAAATCCAATTTTTTTAAGTAAAAATAGAATAAAGATAAGTTTTTCGGTAATTTTACATATTTTTCCTTTATCTTGCATGTTTTCGTGTATTCGGATAAAGAAAACCGATAAAAACCGCCCGAACAAGAACATAATTGTGCAAAAACCCGAACAAGTCTATAAAAATTTAGCCCTGAACCCGATAAGAACCAAACCGAAACAAAATCGAAATTTTTCTAAACCCTGAACGGGTCTAAAATTTAGCAACCGAAAAGACCCAATCCGAATAGAACCGACCAAGGCTAGCTAGATAGAGGGAAGGCTAATAGGGGGTGGGGGTCAGCAGCAAAAAAAAAAGAAAAAAAAAACTGTGTTAGTTGGTGAAGAAGCAAAAAAAGCAAAAAGCGAAAAACCCTACTCAGAGAAGAAGTCCGGGAATTCCGTCGAACACTTGGGCTGCGTTTTAAAGTTTTCCGGATGGCGCCTTTTGTCTAAAACCTCTCTCTACCTCTCTCTCTCGCTTTCTCACTCTCTCCAGAGATCTATCTCCCCCACCATGTTCGGCACTCCGTCTTCCTCGTCGGCGTTCGGCACTGCGTCGTCCACACCGGCGTTCGGTGCGTCTTCAGCCTTTGGCTCGTTTTCTCCTTCCCCGGCGTTCGGTACACCATCATCCACGCCTGCGTTCGGAACGCCGTCGACATCTTCCTTCTCCACTGGCGGATTTGGCTCCTCACTCTTCTCTACTCCCTTCTCATCCCAACAGCCACAGCAGCAGCAACAGCAGCAGCAGCAGCCGAGCTCGCTGTTCGCGCAACCACCGGCATCTACCAGTTTTGGTTTTCAGTCACCGTTCAACACGACACAGCAGCAGACGCCTTTCCCAAATGCGCAATTGACCACTCAGATGGCTCCCGTTGCTCCCATTGCCTTTTCTCTCGCCGATCGTGATGTCCAGGTATTGCTCTTTCTTTTCACCATCAACTCCCTTCCTTCCTTGTAATTCCAGATCTGAAATTCGGAACCCTAGTCTTTACTTTCTTGATCGCTTTTGATTTAGGCCATTATTGAAGCGTATAAGGAAGATCCGACGAATTCCAAGTTTGCTTTTAAGGTTAGTTTGTTGTGGATTACTCTGAAATCTATAGCTGTTTATGTTTATGTTAACTGTAGTTTCGATTTGCCTGCAGCATCTTTTGTTCAGTGTGACTGAGCAACAGTACCGGCACAAGCCTGCAACTGTATCAGATGTGAGAGTCTTCTTGATCCTTTCTTCTATATCATGGAATTGAAATGTGCAGTTTTTCTTGTGTTTAATGAAATCCTATTGATCAATTTCTTGGTTTCTAAATGATTTTATCTGAGATGATTGCTTGTTTTTGGT